TCTCTGACCCAGTAAGGGAGGTTGGGGAGTGTGTGTGTGTGGGGGGGGGGGGGGGGGACGACAACATGAGCTCCAGGGGACTCTCACCTCCAGCACCAAGCGTCTGGCCACTGCGTCCAGGGACAGTGCCAGGCAGGGAGTTTGACTCAGGCAATACACCTGTCAAATGGTAAGACAGGTATCCTAAGGCAAGCTCAGAAAGGATAGAAACCTTCTGTGGAGAAGGGCAAAAGCTCACTTTATCTTGACTTTCAGTACAAATACAGACCATGAATGTTCACTGCACGTCAAAGCAACATCCTGCTACTCAGCTTTTTCTTAGTGATAAGACAGATATTTATTTGGATCTCCATCTGCCTGATCCCCCTTTTTCTCTCAAGTGGCTCAACCTGAATGGAAAAAAGGGTATTATTTATTGGACCCCCTAAAACTTCACCAGAGTTGAGCCACTGATCTGCCCTTAAGTATCTACTTACTTACCCAGAAACTTTTTGTTAAGAAGGAACTCAAAAGGTTGGCCACCCATAATGAAATATAATAAAAATATATTGTTTAAATATCACAAGAGGGATACAACTAGAAGGGTTAAAAGATTTTTGTTCATGTGTTATTAATAACTTTTACAACATGGGACAATGCTCATGATATATATTTTACATGAGAAATGAGTAAAAAATAGTGCATATGTAAAGTTTAATCTTAATTTGAAACTATATAAATATACATGTATATAAGAGAACTGTGAGTACGAATACAGAACTTCCAAATGTTCATATCCTTTAATGTAATTCTTATGGACCTTTAATTAGGAAATACTATGCATGAAAATTTATGTACAAATATATTGATATCATTTATCATAGCAAAACACAAAAACGATCTAAAAGTTAAAAAAAACTGAATAAATAAATTCAGCATTTCCCAAACCTTCTTGACCTTGGAACACTTTTATGTATAGTATATCCTTAAAGTTTTGCAGAATATTACCAATATATGGAAATCAGCTTTTAAAACCCTGGTGCAGAAGGTTATTAAAAAACATAATATGTCAAAAAAAAAAACATAATATGTTACAAAATCATATCTATGTATCTCCTTTTACTTAGGCCTCTTTTGAGGGGATTTCTGTTCTTGCAAACAAATAATTTCTAATAATTAGTATTAGTCTGAAGACAAATGTGATAAATTAAGGTGCAGGTTGTAATCCCTAGGGCAACCACTTAAAAAAAAAATCAATATAACAGAAAGAACGAAGAATGAATTAAAATAATATAATGGTAATTTTCTACTTAACACAAAAAGCAGTACAGGAGGAGGAGAAGAACAAAAAGGACATTTGACAGAAAACAAACAGCACAGTGGTTGGTGTAAATCCAGCCCTATCGATAATTACATTAAATGTGAATAGATTAAACACTCCAATCAAAGTCA